TCCCGTATTTCGTACTTCGTACTTCAGAAGTACGGAGAAGTACAAAAAAGTACGAAGAAGTACGAAGAAGTATCAAGAAGTACGGAGAAGTACCAGAAGTACAGAAGTATGCTTTTTCCCCCTTGGTTTATCCACACAAATTTGAATGATGAATTCCTCTTGACTTCGGGTGATCATACCCATGTTGCTGGTCCCGATATGCTTGAAATGAGAGCATTGCGAGAGAAAATGAAGAACCGAATCATCAATGAAACAACGTCCATCACGAAAATTTATGACGAGGAAATCGCCAAAGCATGTCTTTCCGAATCAACAGCAGCTACATTTCCGACTGTGGTCGAATATCGTATGTACTCTTATGATGAAATATTGATCCTTATTTCGGTTTTACTTCTTTCACTTCATTCCCTTCTTAGGTTCAAATATGAGCAAAGCTCGACGAAGAGCGACACCGGTGATTCCAACGTCTTGCGTGTTTGAAATTCCAATGCCCTACCAGAAAACACTGACGCAAGAACAGTTTTTGTTGATGGATTTCTATGTGAAGCATTTATTCAGCTGATACAAAATGAAAATGCTCGCTGTGAACATTTAATTACACAATTGAATGCTGGTGCGACGCCTCCAAAAGAATCTGGTCGAACAACTGCATTTCAACGAAGATTTGAAACTCTGAAATCGAGATTTGATAAAAATGAAATCAATGCAAAGCAGCTATTACATGGCTTTGGATTGTTACTCGCCGGACCAAAGAAATGAGATCAGGAACTGACATTTACGTCCATTTTTCTTTTCTCTGTGATTTAATTGGAATTTTTTTTATCATCTAGTATAAATAAAAATATCTTTCGACATTTTCCCAATCGATCTTTTCCTTTCGACCTTTTCCTGCTGACCATCTTTCCAATTCGACATCATGTCTTTCGGTGTTTTCTATGTATATGTTTTCCTCTTCGACGTTTTCCTATATTTTTTTCGATATTTTCCTTCTCGACATTTTCCCTTTCTGCGTTTAACACCAAACCCAAAAATACCTCCTTATTTTTATACTTTTATTTAATGTTACAGTAACTTTTGGCCAGATCTACCTAGTTTTATTTACTTGTTTTGTACTTCAACATTTTTTGTCGTTTTAGTATAAAAAGTACAAAACGTTTGTTCCTGAAAAGGTGCTCGATACCTGTCTTTTGATATAAACAGACCAAAATTGCTAAATTGTGTACCGTCAGATATTGAATAAACTCTCGAACGTCATTGTTTGAGACGCGTTTTATTGAAAATAATAACAAAATCAGTATTATTTCACTATTTGGTTAATATTCTGCCGACATAAAATTCTCTTCTAAACTTCAGTTAGTTAAACTTCTAAAATAAAAAACGCTATCTCGAAAGCATTCAAATCGAACATCGGTGCTCCGCAAGGTGATGTTCTCAGTCCAGTTCTGTTCACAATCTACCTAGAACTCGCACTGAGAGAGATTCGAGAAGCATGCCGAAGACCAGCATCGGACGATCCACTGCCACCCGAGATCGAATACGCAGATGATACTGACTTTATTAGCAGCACTATTACACACATCGACAATATCACAGCCACCGCCCCCAGAATACATGAACGTTGGAATCTCAAAATGAACACCGACAAGACCGAACACACAGTCTTAAAACGAGAGACCGACAAAAAACAAGAAGACTGGCGAAAAGTCAAGAAACTCGGCACACTACTTGGTGACACCGAAGAACTACAGAGGCGGAAACAGCTGACGACCATGTCGATGAAAAACATGTGGCGTATCTGGAGAAGAAAAAACAATAAGATCGGTCTAAAAAAGCGGATCCTGCTCTACAACACCTATATAACGCCAATACTAACGTACAACTCGTGCACCTGGGCGTTGACCAAAGTCGAAACGAGTGAACTGGACGCATTTCACCGCAGACAACTCCGATCAGTCATCGGCGTCTGCTATCCAAACATCATAGCCAACAAAAACCTATACAAGGTTTGTAACATCAGCGAAATTTCGCACTCAGTGCGGAAAGCACGGTGGAGGATGTTTGGTCAAACACTCAGAATGGCGGACAATACACCAGCCAAAAGCACCATGCTCCAATACTTCCGTGAGAAGCAATCCGGATTCAGAGGTGCTCCACGCACCACGCTCCCGGTGATCATCAATAAAGAACTTTCCACAATCGCAGCGTCGACGCATCTAACAGAACTTGTATTACAGCTCAAACTACCAGCCGAGCTCAAAACAAGCAACGATCTGACAGCGCCCGAACAAGCCGCAATGCAGCGAACAAGGTGGAAACAACTTGTGGCAAATATGTATGTGCTCGACCAGCAATTTATTGTCTGATAGAGGACGAAACGCAATATGATGATGATGAGTCGGCAGCCATTTCTGACATTTTTTCCTGATCGCGCATTATTTCTCCATTCGGCAAAACAAAAGCATTCAGAGCGGATGATGAAGATTTCATAAATTTTTTCGTTTTTGACCAGAAGGCTACAGACCTTGGCGAACTGATCTATGTATGTTACATATATATTACGGTCAAAACTGAAATTCGGTAAAATCCGAGATTTCCCGGGCAAAACTGGAATTCGCTCAAATCCGAGATTTGCCCGGTCAAAACTGGAATTCCAGTTTTGCGCGTAACATATACTCAACATATCTTGCTTTTACAATTGTTTCAGGGTTACTGATTTACAGAAAAGA